TATTAGACCATTTTAGAACTCCAAACATATAAGTCAACACAGGAATAGCCCATGTATTTATGGCTTTAATTAAATTACTTGATGATAGGTACGTTTTTAGTAGTATTTTTATTCTCTTCTTGAATTCTTCTTTATAGTTCTCCTTATTATTTTTCTTGAATTTTAAAAGTTGACTAAAAGCTAAATATTTATAAGAATTAGAATTGTTTAATTATTTTATTGTTCCATTATTAATCAGTTCCATGTCTTGTTTATCCATTATCTCATCCCTTTTAACATGAATTATAGCACATTTATCTATCCCCAACGTCATGCCTATATCATTTCTAAATGATTTCAACTATTTTGATCATGTTCTCAAGTTCTTCTTCACTCTCAGAATATAGTTTTAATTGTCCATATATAGAGCATAAGATAATCTGGTTCCATTTTTTTTGAGTCTGAACCCCAGACCTGAATCATTTAAGAATTCACTTAGTGGATTTAATGCGAGACATAACAGAAATGGACTTAAAGAGACTCCTTGAAATATTCCTCTATTTATAGGTATACAAATATTGGAATGACTAAATTTAGGAAGGTGTAATTTCACCTTCCAAGTCTTCATTAGAAGTTCTAATAGCTCCATTATTTTAATGTCTATTTTGTACATGTTTAGTACTTCTATTAACCACTTGTGAGGAACTGAATCGTACACCTTTTGGTAATCGATCCAGGCAATAGAAGCATTTCGCTTTTTCTTCGATATCTGGGAAGCTATGAACGAATCCAATACCAGCAATTCCTTACATCCCTTGGCATCCTTCTTACATCCTAATTGCTCTTTTGTAATTATGTTATACTTGTTGACATGTTCCGATGTTTTACAACTGATCACAGACGTGAGCAATTTATACACCCCATTCAGGCAGGTGATAGGTCTAAAATCTTTAGGTTCAAGAAGATCCTTAGTAGATTTAGGGATTAAATATTCCTTCACTGAAATCATCAGGTGGAATAATGGAATTGGCTAATAGCTTTCTGTAATAAGTGGCCAAAATTGAATGCGTACTAGTAAAGTACTTTAACCAATAGTTCTGAATTTTTTCTGGACTAGGCGTTTTCCAATTTTTCATTCTTTTAACTGCTTGTTTGACATCTTCTTCACTTAACATTATTCCATCCATCGGAGTAATCCAACTAGTATTTTTCCGAGCCTTGTCCATCCAAGATTCATTAAAATTGTTTAGATTCAGAGCTTCCCATATCTTAGACCAAAAATCTTCTGTTTCTTTTTCATTGACATGTAACACACCAAGTTTGGGTTGGTGAATTAATGAGCTATAGAAGGCCTTCTGTTTTGATAGGAACATCCAATTTTGCATCCGTCTATTTTCAGCCTCCTTGTATCTTCTTAATCTATTAGCATATACAGCCAATTTCTGTTTATTACTGTCTAAATAAATATTCAATTTATCTATTAGTTCTGACTCTTGTACAGTTCCTAAACGGAGAACTAAAATTTTATTATTATCTTTTTTTATTCTCGCCTTTGCGGATTCAAAGCTGAAGGTGGGGGACAAGCCCAACCACCTGCAGTTATAATATTTTTAGATATTTAAAAACTTTCTTGTAATTCTGGCTTTATCCAAGAGAACTGCTTGCTGAGCCTCTCTTAACACATCCAGGGGTAATTCCAAGCCGTCCGTACCTGCCACCATTGACTTTGGGATCAGATCATTGGTTAATATTATTATTGGTGTAACCAATACGCTCTCCAAATAATTTAATTCGATCGCCAGTTCTTGGTACTTACGGCGCTTCTCTCCCACGGTCGTGCTTATGTTGTTATCATTTGGAATCGCGACATCAACTAACTTTGCCTTCTTTGCTCCTAAATCTATAATAAGGATATCGGGTCTGTTGTGACGCACTGTATGATCCGTTATTATAGATTCGTCCCAATACATTTTGACAGAACCCTTCTGAAGCAGCCTTATTGGATTATATTTGTAATATGGCACCTTTTCATCCAACAGGTTTAGTTTCATAGCCAGGGCCTGGTGGAATATTTTCACCACATTGTTGTGCCTTTGCAGATACTCCGTACCAGCGAGTACTCCACATCCAGCTGTGATATTTTGGATTGATTCGTACGTCGTTGAACAAAGTCGACATTTATCAGTTGTTGCAGTGTCTTTTAGAACGTGCCTGCTATATGACCTGGTAGCAATGACCTGATCTTGAATGGCGACTACAAAGCCTTCTGTTTCAGAGAATAGCCTTCCAGCCGCTAACCATTTCACAGATTTTTCTTTGTCTATGGAGGCTTCATTCAATTGGCTATAGTACCTGCCATGTAGTGCCTTGCTTTTCCATTCTGACAGCCTTTCATTTTCATACACAACTGTGAAATCTTCGGCTTTGCTCAAATTGAGTGCCGTTAGACCTGAATCCATATTGGTTATAGTAAGGTAAATCCCTTTCATTTTAGAAAGAAAATATCGCCGTAGCGCCAGCTCTTGCTTTTGACATGCTTCATCTATATTTAGAAGTCCGCGACCTCCTTCCTTTCTAGATAAATACAGGCAGGCTTTGGACGACGTTGGATGGTGAAACCGCTCTTGTGTGAATGTCGTTCTTACTAGATGATCAATCTCCTGTAGACTGGTATTGGACCAATGTACTATACCAAAGCTATAGCTCAGAGCTGGTATGACCCAGGTGTTAATGGCCTTAATTTTGTGCTTCCCAGATAACTGAGTCTTGAGCACTTGTCGCAATCTCTTTCACAGTCAGAAGCTGTTGCACGTTGCAAGTTGCACGTCCCTTCGGGCAATTTTCAGGTTTTGTTGTATGCCTAAATATTTATATAATTGATATGCTTCTAGCTCCTTAATGTGATCTTCTTCGTTTATCAGAATGTTCTGGGTATTAACCTTTCTTCCCTTTTTTACACGAAGCACCACGCATTTATCAAGTCCGAATGACATACCTATATCACTGGTAAAGCATGATACTGTTTCAACCATGTTCTGTAATTGCTGTTCATTTTTCGCATACAGTTTGAGGTCATCCATATACCAATTATGACTGATTGTGGTATCATCATCTTTGATGTTAAGTTTGTAGCCAACCTTGCTCCTTTTGAGTATCTGGCTTAATGGGAACAGTGCCATACAAAACCACAGAGGGCTAAAGCAATCTCCTTGATAGATACCTCTAAGAATTTTAATTTGATTGTTAGCGCGGATTGCTCCTATATTCAGCGTAGTAGCCCAGTCCGCCATTAAATTTGAAAGAAGTTTGCTTATTTTAGGTTGAACCTTGTATATTCCCAATACTTTGAGCAGCCAACTGTGTGGTACAGAATCGAAAGCTTGTTTATAATCGATCCATGCAACAATCATTTTGGGATTTTGGGAGACCGAGGAAGTCAAGGTTTCCATTCCGTTGAATCCTGAAGATGCATTTTGCGAAGATCACTTTATAAATACATGCACTCGTGATCTCCTGAGTAGATTCGTTGTTTTGCTTCCGTTCCATTCATACCAGCCGATTAGCATTGATTCGACTAGAGAGATAGCTCTAAGCAGATTTAGAAATCTGGAAAATAGATTTATGAGAGATACGGAGTATAAGTCTGCCTATGCTGCACAGATGAACGAATATGTAAGACTGGATTATGTCCACCTCGCCAAGAACCCTTCTCCATACGTCTTGACCCATCATGGAGTCATTAAAGATTCTTCCACGACAAAGTGTAGAGTCAAATTTAACTGAGAAAATAGTGGGAGGGAACTCAATCAATGATTTGCTTTTGACCGGACCGAAGCTCCAGACTGTTATTGTGGAAGTTATAGACCATTTTAGATGCTTTCCTATGGACTTAACATGCAATATAAAAATGATGTTTAGGTGTATCCACATTGCCCAAACTAATCAGAACTTATTAAGTTTTTTTTTGGAGAAGTGAATCTTCAAAGCCGATCCAGAAGTATGAGTTGGTTACCTTGCCATTTGGGTTGAAATGTTCTCCCTTTATTGCTCAGAGAGATATTCTACAGTTATTTCGGGAAGAAGGCCATAATTTTCCTAAAGCTGCCCAGTGTCATGACCAGATTTATGTAGTTAACGTAACCTCTGGTGCTCGCAATAGTGATGAGGATCTGGATCTGTAGAATGAGTTGATGACCTTATTTGGAGTAGGTGGGTTTGAACTCAGAAAGTTCTCCAGCAATTCCGAAAAAGTACTTTCTGTTATACCTGAGGGTAGTCAAGAAATTCTGTTGTGCCTGGATGGAGATTCCTCGACTGTCAAGGTTTTAGGTTTGTTTTGGGATCCTAAACTTGATCATTTCAAGTATTCAATACAGGAAAGTGAGCCTATATTTACAAAGCGAGGTATTCTAACCTTCATTGCTAAAATTTTTGATATAAATGGATATATCAGTCTGGTAATTTTTTCCATTAAATTCCTATTACAACGTTTGTAGCTGCTTAAGGTTGATATGGATGATGAAGTGCCCTCTAGTTTGTCTTCATTGTGGAAGGTTTCCCTTGAATTTCTGGCTTGGACATGTGAAAAGGATTCCTAGATTGGTATTACCTAGACAAATGTTGTATGGTCATCCCGGAGGTTCTCGAAGGAGGCGTAAGCCTTGCAAACGATGGCTTGTTAATGTGGAAGACGACCTACAACAACTAAGTGTTAGAGCATTGCTCCTTTGAATATGCCATTACTCCTTTGAGTATGCGATTGGATTTCATGGAGTGATGTTTGATTAGCTGTTTTTTTCTGTCCTGATGATGCCTGAATTGACGAAACGTTGACGGGTTTTTCTTTGCCTGCATTTTGGAGACAAAAGGCTGTGTGGTTTGGAATTTTTCCAATAATAACCTAACACACACACACACACACACACACACACACACACACACACACACACACACACACACACACATATATTTGTACATTATATATCTGTATGATTTATATGTATGTAAATATATTGTATTACCTAAAATAAATCTTTTTGTAAGAGATCCATCAAACTTATTTGACCAAAAAACCTTCGTAGCTCCATAACCAAGCCAAAATACTTCTGACTCAGTAACTGCAACATCTACTGGACCGGAATGTCCGTCTTTAAAAATATGTCGATCAAGTCCTGCAAAAATATAAAATATTAGCACGATTTTTTTTTTTTTTTTTTTTAATTTTGTTTATGAAAACAATTTTTTAATGTATCAAAAATTATATTTAAATGAATGTTAATTTATATTTTCTTTCTTAGTTTATTTTTTTCCCTAACATTTAAACTAAAATATTTATCCTTTATCATATTATTTTGTTTCCTTACGAAATGAATTCTGCAATTCCTGATAAGTTAGTTTTATAATTATTTTTAATATCATAATTATTATTTATATCATTTGATAAGTTTAAGAAGAAAATATCAATAAAGCAGTTTTTATCAATCTCATTTTTTTTCAATTTACTTCATCATATATCAAATGTATTAATATTATACTAGTCTTATGAGATTGTGATAAATATAGTAAGAAAGGGCATATGTATTTTTGTTGATAATTCTAAAGGTGCTGGTACACTTTTTTTTGTTATATAATAAATGCTGGCTAAAAATAATACCAAAATAACATAAGAAAACTATTTCCAATACAATATAAAATTAATACAATTTTACAAAAAGTTAAAGCCAAATGCAATGATATGGATTAAAGGTGTTTAACAATCTCACCTTCAACAGCTGTGGAAGCTATTTCACCTCCCATTTGATCAGACCAGAACAGTCGCTCAAGTTTAGGATCATAGCTAAGAGACAAAGGGCCAAATAGTTTCTCTTCAATTACATGAATTCTGGAAGTTTGTCGCCCATCCATTGATATCCTGTCAATGTGTGCACCCTCAAATGTTGAAAGTGCAACAAACATAAATCTAAAATTTGAAGTAATTCATTGTATAATGGTAATTAATAAGTTTCCGGATATTAATAAATTAAAATTACTGTTTTGTAAAAATCTTGGGAGTACGACAAATTAACAGAAAGGACTATTATATTGTACAATGTATAAACATAAGAAAGTGAACAATACTTTATAATTTTAACACTTTAAATAAATATCTTATTTATTTTTATTTCATTACAAGCCAATAGTCACAATTTTTCAACTATAAGAAACAACGTAAATCTTGTAAACATCATGAATATTTTAGTTATAAAATTATTTGCATTCTAAAAACAAAAATATTACACCCTTTCCTCTGACTTTGTTTACCTACATTTGCTATCTTAAAAGCACATCTGGAAAATCCTAGATCGACCCTTTTACTTACCTACCAAAGTGTCAGTACTTGAATACCTTCAGTGCTCGAAACACGGTTAGTAAGAGTAAATATTACATTTCCTATAAATGTATTATATACATTATTCTTTAGTTTGTACAACTTAGTACATATTTCATTTGTCCATTTCATGTAGCATCAATCAGTTTTTTTTTTTCATTGTTAACCATTATTCATCTCATAATATTATATCTCTGATTGTATTAAACAATTTTCAGCCCTCATAATCCACACATTTTGGTTGAAACGTTAGCACCTATAAAAACTTTATAATGAGTGCGTCCTGAATATTTATCACCCATGATATGTTGAACAGTTGACTAACTTAGTTCAATAATTCATAATTTCTTTTGGTTTTCTATTTAATATTACTTTTTTTAGAGTGCTACCAGTGGGTAGTTTCTCAACAAGTCATTTCATGTTTTTATTTTCTGTTATCAAATTTACTTAATGTATTTAATTTTTTAATACAGTTGTAAATATCATGAATAAATAAAAAAAAAAATAAAAAATAAAAAAATATTACTTTTATTTCAGAAATGACAAAATATCATACATCATACCTTGCTGAAAAATAAAGTTCTGCCCAATCAACTCAAGCCCAGATGGTATAACATGGTATGTCAAAATGCTATGGTATTGTTTTGCATTCAGTTTTTTAATTATTCACATGAGGTCTCCAACTCTAGGAACACAACCTCAAACCATTAAGCACCCACCTCTGTGTTTTACTGTTAGTTGCAATCATCCGAAAATTCAACTCCAGATCTTCTTTAACATACAATTCCATTCAAGTCGCTTTTGCTTGTGTAGATTGAAAATTTGATTTCCTTCTTGCATCAAAACCTTTGAGGCTAAATGATAAGAGTTTCCTTCTAATCAAGGAGGATGAAACATGGATTCTTATAAGACAATGTTCAGCAGCAGAACTTTCTTTAGCAAACCCTTCTTCTCAATCCATTACAATCCGGTTTCCGTTCCCATTATTTTATCTAATCTGCCCAGCTAAGGAATACCCAAGACCTACAATCCTCTACAGATAAACAAAAAATTTCTATCCTAATCCTGTAAATAACATGTTAAAAGTTATTGTAAATGAGGTTTTTTTGGCGGGCAATGGCGAATAGCCTTTCCCTTTATCGGGGACTAGGTTATTTACACTCGTGATTATTAAAACAAAACCCCGACACTGGATATAGACTTTTTGAGGGTGTTTAACTGTTGTTGGAAATTCAGGAACCTAATACTTTTGTGAAATGAGTGAGAAGAAACAATAAGAATATATATATGAAATGTGGGACTTAGTAAATACACTTTGAATGAATTGACTCACTTGGTTTGTTATTCTTCAATTGTGAGGCATATAGGACAACTAAATAAAATGACTTTTCACTCCTGTATAATAAAACAATTTATTTTACAACGGTAATAAATGAATGTATAAAAGTCTTATAACTGTAGGCTTGATATTCTTAGTCTTCAATGTAGTATCTCTCTCTGACAACCTCGTTTCTTACTGCTCAGGCCTAGAGTCCTCTCGCCTCCGTGACCCAGCCTCAAGTGCCTTTTTCTCTCCCTGGTGTCATTTTCCAGCTGCTGCTACCTGACCGGACCTTTTTCCTTCTTCATCGATTGTTTATCGATATGAGACTTTTCAATGAACAATTTGTCCACTTCACAATTGAGTACAATTCACAGTGCAATCTTACATTCCTATATATTATATATTCCTACTTATACCCTCACACAATGTCACATACAGGAGTACATACAGGGGGCTGTCTACTACAATCCTTTTTGACTTTTCAAAAGCCTTTGATTCTGTCAACCATAAGATCCTCCTTTCCGAACTCCTAAGCCTCTCCATATCAAATAGTGTTCTAAAATGTTTCCACTCCTTCTTATCCCATCACTCACAGACAGTTGTAATTTCTAATAAATCTCCATCATCACCCCTCCAATTAACTAACACAATGTGTTCCTCAGGGCTCCTCACTCTCTCCGAAACTTTTCTCTATTTATATTAGTGATCTTCCTGACTCCATTAATCACCATATGGTAATCCTCATCCTTAAATTCCTTCAAACAACTCTTGTTCCACCACCTACATAATTTTAAAACTTCCGTACCAATACCTATTGGATTCTGTAATTACAACTGCTCATAAACAATTAATTGACAAGGTCCATTTGAATTGATTTACTTTTCCTTTGTATTAATGTAAATACTATAAAATGTACTAGTATTAAATTGTTTACTATTGTTGTTCAAGTATGATTGCAATAGTAATTGAAATTAACATTCAAATGACCTCTTTGTATTTTGTCAAACCAGACTTTCTTTTTTTTAGTAGGAGTTTCCACTAATAATAAGTTCTCTTAACCTAAACCTTAACCTCAGTTAAATGTTAACATGGTAATTTTTCTGGCTGCACTAAAATCCTTGAGACATGAATTAAGATCTGATTTCCAAGATCAAAGAAAAGAAATGAAGCAAAACTAAATAACAAACTTGATAAAATAGAGGAAACGGTCACAAAGTCAAACCAAGAACTTCAAAAATACATAAATAAAAACGACACAGTAAAGAAAGATGAATTAAAAAGGAAGTTAAGGTATCAAACAGACCTTTTTGATAAAACCATTAATAAACAAGGAACCAAGCCTGAAGATGTCACTGTTGTACAAAGCTCTGCTATTCAAGATGGAGAACCACAAGGAAGTACTGATTATGAAAGTGCTAAGGAAACTAAACATGGTGAGAATCCTAAAAAATTATAAAATGTTGAAAACATCATAGTTGATAATAATGAACATTTAGATGGAAGTCCTACTAATGAAGAATAAAGGAAACCACTGATGATGGAAATGATTGTGGGGATACTGTTATTTCAGAAGAATCCATGACCAAAATAGTCAATGATAGTGAGCCATCCGGAGCTGAAAAAGAGAACATTGATGAAGAAAAAGAAATATTAATTGAAAAGGAATTACCGAATGAAGATGAGTCTAGGTCTGATAACACCATCCTTGATTTGCCAGAAGTAGAAGAGACTGATGTTGACATTGTAAGAGAAGTTGGAAAAGGAGAAACTTTAACCGACATCACAACTACTGATAGACTTTCTAAACCCAAGGACAAAGTTATAGACATCAGTGATTCAGAATAAATTAAAGCTGATAAGGGACATTACCGGATAAAACAAAAACTTGGTGCTTTAGACCAAGGTTAGAAAAATGCTAAAATATTTTTGGAAATTTATGGTTAAAAACACTGGCTTTGTTTTATGGATATAAAATAATAAATAATAATAAACAAACAGGTTTAATAATAGAGATTAATCATAAATTTATGTCCATTATGAATTTAAAACTTTTTTTTTCATTTTATATTCATTTTTACTAGCGACAATGAGATTTAGATCTTCATCTGAAACTATCCAGTATTTTTTCTCTAATAACTAAAACCCTTTATTTTGTATATATTGTGATTTTATATATATATTGTGATTTTATATATATATATTGTGTATTTTATATATTCATTTAAATAATTTTTTTTTTCGTCTACGCATGAGTGCATTTAGGAATGTTTTCAAGTATGCATACTAAAATTTCAAATTTCCTTTCCACACATAAGTTTATTTCATCACACCCATTTTTCTTAAATTTTGATGTTCTCACTTGAACACAAAATTTAAAAGCTGAATAGTGGATACATGTAGTAGATGGACTCTAGTATTTACTCCTTTACGTGACATTCGAGTGAGGGAATGAGAAGGAATCTAGGGTTGCACTATGAATTGGACTCAATTGTGCAATGGACAATTTGTTTATTTAAAGTATCAAATCTATAAAAAATCAACAAAAAAGGTACAGAATAAAGAAAGGTAGAAGCCTGGAAAAGTGGTGGCAGGTGGCAGCAGGAGAAGGACGCGGAAGAACAAAGAAGACTTGGAAATTAATACAGAACTATGTGATGGCAGAAGAGAAGCCCACTCCACTGAAGATTAAGAAGATCAAGCCTACAGTTAAGACTTTAATAAATTCATTTATTACAGTTGTGGAAATAAATTACTTTGTTATACAGGAGTGAATAATCCTTTCAGTTAGTTGTCCTATATGCCTTACAATTGAATAATAGCAAACCAGGTGAGTCAATTCATTCAAAGTGTGTTTACTCAGTCCCACATTTCATATATATATCTTATTATTCCTTGTTACTCAGTGTCACAAAAGCATTAGGTTCTCAAATTCCCAACAACAGTAAATACCCTCAAAAAGTCTATATCCAGTGCCAGGGTGTGGTTTTAAAATTAAAATTCATGAGTGTAAATAACCAAGACCCCGACAAAACGGAAGGCTATTTACAATTACCGCCCAAACAGATTATCTAGATCTTCTAACCATTAATGAGATAGAAGCTGCCGTGACTAGGTAGCTTCCATTGGTACAACTATCAAATCATTTTCGATTGGTACAACTATTGAATCGAATAAATCATTTTCAGGAGAAGGAATTAAATGACTAACAAGAATAAAAACATTTGTTGATTCATTAGGTACAAAGAGACTTACAACCAAACTATGGGCA